GTAATATATGCTGTGTGTGTGTGTGTGTGAGCAGCAGTTGGAGAGAAGTCTGCAGCAGTTTGGTGAACGTTGGGAGTTGAACCCCGGAGACGGAGCTTTCTACGGCCCAAAGGTCAGTGGGAAGGGCAACATGCAGTAAAGGAAGCAGATTTCCACACCCAAATGTAAATATTGGTTATCGTATCTGTTAACAGCAGTCAAAACATGTTGGGTCCTCCACTCACTTTATTCACTTCACTAAAAGCCACTTACTGCCACAATAGATCAGCAGTTTGGGAAATACACTTATTCGCTTTGTGGCAGAGAGTTGGATAAGAAGATCGATACCACTCTCATGCTTGTATGGTAAATACTAAGCTATGGCCTGCAGCCTGTTAGCTAAGCTTAGCACAAAGAGACTGGGAACAGGGGGAAACAGCTAGCCTTTGTCCATAGATTAAACAATCGGCCTACCAGTAGTTAAAAAGATTATTGAATTACACATTATATTATTATCTAGTTTGTTTAATCTGTACGTAAGTATAAAAACAGTTACTGTAGCTTCATGTTTAATGGACAGACATGAAGGTATCATGTCACAGATTAGAGAGTGACACAGACGTCTTTGTTTTCCTTTTCTGGCTCTGCAGAGATAAACCTGAATTGACACTTCACACTGTACTGGAACACCAATAAAAACAGAAATGTGATGGCTGTTTATAGAAAATGTTTAGCTACTTGTGTTTCATGAAAGTAGAAGGTGGCTTAACTTCAGAATGATATCGGTTTTCTTAGAGGCGATTTCATTTTCACTTTAACTCGTGCAAGAAGTCAGTAAACATCAAGAGGAAGTCAGCTTCAGGGAGACGTTACCAGATGGAGCTCATGTGGAGGCACAGAGAGAGGAGGTAGGTCAAGTCAGGGCGGGGTTGATACACACCAACACGCTCCATGAAACAAACAAACATTTCTCTGAGCCATCTAGCTAGGGTGTGTTTGCCACAGTTAGTTAGATCAGCTACTTTCGGAAAACCCATTTTGTAACTATTCCTGTCCACAAAAATGCAGACCTTCCCCAGCAGCGTCTGCGGTGTCAGAGCTCTGAACTGAGTCATACTAACACACTCTTACACGTTTCATCATAGATTGACATCCAGATCAAAGATGCCATTGGCAGACAGCACCAGTGTGCCACAATACAGTTGGATTTCCAGCTGCCAATCAGATTTGACCTTCAGTATGTTGGGTGAGTCAGACCTTTCTGCATTTGGCTCTCAAACTTTGAAGCATTCCTACATCTGTAGTGATTTAAGTCTGCACGTTGGCACTTTTGTAGTATAGTCTTGTCTGTTTGATAAACCCCCTGTGCTTGCTGTGTATGATGTCTGGTAATTGCTCAAGTTAAGATGGCAGAAGTCCTAATGTCATTGGGACCCAATTTGATCATGAAACATTAGTTTCTTATTGAATCTATTAGTTCAGGTAAGCACGCGCCCAGTTTTTGCCTCTTATTAGTCTGCCCTACTTTCCTCGTGGTCTCCTCATATCAAAGTGTTTTTGATTACTTAAAACTCTTTTATCTAACTATCTATAAATATCTAACGTTGATATTTATCATGATACATAACATTTGGAAAGGGATTAAGAAACCGTTTCTGCATGAAATATGGGAATGTCCTTTTTTGGCTCATCCAGCAAATACTTTTACAGATCAAAGTACTTTATCACAGTGATACAAAAATGAAAAATAACTGTCTTGCCCACTGATTTGCAACATTGCATCATATTAAGGCAACACTAAGATTTGGTATTTATTGTGATTTGGCACCCCCAGAATGCAATACTACTGTCGTAAATATGGACACATGCATTTGTTATGATTACTTTACATGAAGAAAAGTTTTCTAATCGACACCTTTTGCTAACGCAGCCAAACATCAAGCAGGTGCAATAACACAAGACATTACAAACCAGCTAATATTACTTGTCCAACAGCAAGAAGCCCAGTGTCTGTCTGCAGCTTTTTATTTCAGGAGGCTCTCGCCAACGACTAAAAAGCCAGTCCAGCATTTACTCTCCTCCGGTGGCCTCTTGCTCGGTTACTCTTTTACTCTTCTTAGTTTCCGCCGTCAGTGTCTTCTCAGGTCTTTGCCTCTGTCATTCACCATCTCCATTGACGCTGCTGAGCCTAGTTAAATCACCTTCTCGCCTCGCTCCAGTTCTAGCACGCCGCGGTGCCACAATATATGTCATATTTATACCAACTCACATTATACAGCGTTTTATCTTCCAGCCCTCACTCCATTGATAACCCTTTTTATCTGAATCTACCTGTCTCTCAGTCGAGATGGACAGTTGCACAGGCCGGTGATGATCCACAGAGCAGTGCTGGGATCCCTGGAGAGAATGATCGCTATACTGGCTGAAAACTTTGGAGGGAAATGGTGAGAAGACGTTTATTTTATTAGGCTGCTATGATACTGTAGCAGTACCCAAACTCATCACCTCTCTTTTTACTTCAACCAGGCCACTGTGGTTGTCCCCAATGCAAGTCATGGTAATTCCTGTGGGGGGCAACAGTGAGTCATACGGCAAACAGGTCAGTCTATGATGAAGATTTCCTTGTGGTACATCAAGTGTACTTTCTTTCAGATTTTTTTCTTCTTTCCGTCAGTAGTAATTTGCTCGTCGATGTGAGAATCTCAGTAAAGATACAATCTTAAGAGAAGTGCCTCTCCTCTGTTAAGGTGGTCCAGCAGTTCCATGAAGCTGGCTTCATGGTTGATTTGAACGACGATCAGGGAGCAACCTTAAATAAGAAGATTCGCTCTGCTCAGCTGGCCCAGTACAACTACATATTTGGTAAAGATGAATAAGAGGATGAAAACTGTGGATACTTATTGCACTAAAGTCTGTTACGTTTATGACAGTAACTGAAACTCCCTGTTCATTGCTATTGACGTCAACATACTTGATTATGACTAACATTTTATTATTGTGTGTTTGTGCAGTGGTGGGGGATAAGGAGAGTGAGAGTGGAACAGTAAATGTGAGGAGCAGAGGGGGTAAACAGCTGGGTAGGAGGCCGACAGAAGAGGTGCTGACATCCCTCACACAGCTACGAGACACCAGGAGCAACCAAGACGAGTTTTGATAAAAAATTCCTGGAAATAATGAGTCACTGATGTAATAAATGTCTGTTTCTACATGTTCAAGCTGTTATACTTTGGCCTTGTCTGAAGAGGTGACTGATAATATTTGTAATAAAACTATATAAAAGATTGTCCATGTTTCTCCTTTTTTAATGTGTCTATTAATGGCATTTGCTGATAAATAACTCCTAAAAAGTCCAGAGACGAGATTTAAGGCTATTTTAAGATCACTATCTGTCTAATATCAGCATTACTCAGCTACAGTTGCAATTTGTTTGCTAAAACTCGTTAAATATGCTAACCTTCTGCTTATGCAAGTCTGTGTCATGATATCAGAAAAGAAAACCAGGCATACCTTTAAAAGACTGGAAGAAAGGGAGGATACAGAGGGGGATTTGACTAAAATAGGAGAGGGAGCAGCAGTGTCAGGGCTGTGTGTTTTCATGTGTGTTTAGTGGAAACAGCCAAGTCAAGGTAAAGGCCAAAGGGATTGGAAGTTTTTCCTTTTTTAATTGAGAGAGGGCAGCAGGATGGAAAAGACATCAGTCACAACAATGACACACAGGGCGAGGGAGGTGTCAGCTCTGAGAGAATAAACTCGACTGGACAAAAGCAGCCAGCTTCAACAAAGCCGGTTGCGAAACAGGTGGAGTGGATTGTGTGTTTTAGTTCTTCCGGAGATCGTTTAGTGGGCCAGAGGGGAAAGGTAAGGCAGGTTCAAGATGAGGCCTCTGCTGTAAGCCAGGCACAGGTCACCTCGGCTTGAAACAAAAGTTCCGATTTAACTAAAAGTCAGACTCACAGATGTAATTGCGGATATGAACACTGAAGAATGGAGCTTGTTAATAGAGGAAATGCCAGTAAACCCTCTTAGAGACGGGCTGTAGCTGCCAGTAATGCTAAGTGGGGGAACTACAGAAGACCTGAGGCTCAACACTATAATGTCGAAGTCTCAGTTCACCCAAACAATAAAAACAAAAACATTAGGTTATTTGGGCATGCAGATATTTTTGGCTATATGCCCATAGTTTTCAGTTATCCATCAGATATTCTTGTTAATGTCATTGTGTTTCTTCTGTTTACAGTCATGCTGGTGGGTCTGTGGGTCTGTGAGACTGTACTTAGGCACAGCATTGCTGATAGCTATAACACCATCAACAAGCTGATTACCATTTTAACCATGTTAGTTTAGCATGTTAGCAAGCTCATACTTGCTAATTAGCACAGAACACAAAGTGCAGCTGAGGCTGATGGGAATGTCATTAGTTTTGCAGGTCGTAAACCAAAGTATTGGACGATTTAAAATGTTGACCTGATGATGGCCCTAGATGAAAAATCAGGAGACCACAGTTGTTACAATACCTCCTGAGGGGGCTTTAAATGTCTGTTACAAATATAATTGTAATCCATGCAGCAGTATTTAAGATGTTTCACATTAAACAAAAAATGTCATCCTGCTGTTGGTGCCAGAGAAAAATGTCAGGGGATCAGAAAAAGTAAGTAAAATTCATCCTCTGGGGAACACGAATGTTTGTACAAATTTTCATGGCAATCCATCCAGTAGTTTGTAGCAAGTCTGAGTTCCTCCAACACGACAGTCTGCTCACTGTCCTTTTATTTATGCTTCTCACACACGCTTCAACATAAATGCTCAAACTCCTTTTACTGTGTGCCTCCGGTTGCCTGCCTTCTCTGGCACATGTTGCTTAAATCCCACAGAGGTGTGTGTGTGGAGGTGTGTGTGTGGAGGTGTGTGTGTGTAGGTGTGTGTGTGTAGGGGTGTGTGT